TTTTCTCACGGTTAAGAAGATTTTATTTTTTTTATTAGTATAGTATTTAATATATGTTTTTTTTTTTTGAATGATGTTTTAAAAAAATTAAATATATAGAGAAACGCATTTTTTTCATTTATTTTTTTTTGTTTTTCTATGTATTCATTTTTTTTTATTTTTTTGCCCTTTTTTTTTTTTTTTTTTTGTAAATCAGGTTTCAAGACTGCTCACCCCACTTTATCACCAAATGGCCACTAAAATATTTTCGGAAGAACAGCTTAACTATTTCAGGGTTTGTCACATAGCCACTGACATACTGCCCCGAGCTCTGCGATTTCTGTTCAAGCAGGAATGGGACAATCGTTACATGACAACGTTTGGAGAATGGACGGACACGCCTCAAAATGGACTAGACTTCAATAACGGTGAATCCCCAGGTAATCAACGAAGAAATGCCCGACTGTTGGCTACAATGGTAAATGGAGACAGGGCGGAATGGGACTGTACTATGCTATTTTATGCCATCCTGTTCTCTGATTCTATTCATAGCCTGAGTCCACTGATCAAAACCAATGTTGATGATCTCAGGAAGTTTCGCAATGAAGACTTCGCTCACATGACAGAAGGTCAGCTCTCAAATACAGACTTCAGCATCACTGTTGGCAAAGTGGAGGCAGCATTTCGAAATCTTGGCCTGTCTACTGTTGAAATCCAAACTGTAAGTACACAGAAAGGTTTTCCAACCGATGAGTTGCAAAATGTGATTACAAATGTTCAGAACCTTACTCAAGACCTTCACACAAAAGATGCCGAACTTCAAAGCAAAGATAGTAAATTGCAGGAAAAAGCTAAAGAGCTTCTGGAGAAACATGCCGAACTTCAGGAAGAAAAAAGCAAATTACAACAAAAGCATGCCGAACTGCAAGAAAACATACACAGTCTACAAGCTAAAGAAGAACAACGTAAGGTCCTTGAAGAGCAGCTACAGCGCAAAGTAGAACCATTTTGCGTCCTTCCACCCAGACCTCCTCATGTGATCGCGAGACGCGATTGCGACGTTGCTAAAGTAACTCAGAAACTCCTAAACCTTAGGAAGACTAACGATAGCGCTTTAAGTTATTGTTATATTTCAGGCAATCCCGGGAGTGGTAAATCTCAGCTGGCTGGATTAGTTGCGGAGAATTTCTACAAAGACGCCCGTGAAGACACAACTGCTCCGTCATTTGTAATGACTTTAAGTGCTGAAAACCCAGAAGCGCTTTTAACATCATACCTCTCGCTGGCAAGAAAGATGAGCTGCCCCGCGTATACTATAACTGCTACCGAAAACTCCAAGGATTTAAGTACTGAGCAGAAAATAGCCATTATCAAAGATTTAATTACAACAAAAATCCACCTTTACTTATCTTGGCTCTTAGTGATTGACAATGTCACAAATCTCGCTAGAATGGGTCAGTTTCTTCCTGAGAGAGGAAATGAGCAGTGGGGCAAAGGCCAGCTGCTAATCACAACGAATGATTGCTCCTGTATCCCTCCTGAGAGTTCCTTTACATCCCACACCTCCTTGAGCAAAGGTATGGAGCTTGCTGATGCTACTTGCCTTTTAATTGAGCTCTCTGGAATCTCTGCCAACGAAATGGAAGGACAGGTGGCTCATGCTTTGGATTACCAACCACTTGCTCTAGCCAGCGCAGGAGTGTTTATGAGAAAACTGCGAAATAGCAATCCAGCATTTGGCTGGGAGGGTTACTTAGAAAAACTAGAAAAGGGGAAACGTGAACTCACTGAAAAGGAACTTGCCAAAGTAAATAGTATCTACCCAAACTCTATGACAATAGCGACCAGGGTAGCCGTTGAAGCGGTAATGGCTTCTGATCAAATAATGAAGCACGCTTTCACTTTTCTCGCTTTTTGTGCACCAGAGCCATTGAGGTTAGACGTGTTGACCACGTATGTTGTAAATGCTGATGAAAGCTTGGATAAAGAGGAGGTAGGCATTCAGATCCAAGGCTCCTCATTGCTGTTGATCGACGATGGGAATGACGTGAACATTCGATTACACAAAGTGGTACACGATATTCTGAAGCTGGTTGTTAAAGATCGAATTGAAACTGATGAACACATCCGAGTTTTATCTGTTGCATTGCAGTCATGCAAGCAGTTTATTACCAAATCAGTCCCAAAGATTGAGCAGACAGTGGATTCTTTCCTTGAGAGTAGACAAATGGTTCCACATTTAAAAACGCTGGCAGTGGGAATTAACCACATTTTCTTTAATAAAGATACATTTCAGGTTTTCTGTAATATAACTTTGGATGTCTACCAATTTTGCTATAACCTAAGAGTGCTTGGAGGAGTTTGCCGCCTTCATAGCGAGTTCCATTCATCAATTCAGTACTTAAGCGCAGCTTTAAAGATCATTGAAGATGATCAGACTAGGGAACGGCGACCCAATCACTTCTTCGTTGCGAGTCTTTACTGCGAACTAGGTGAACTAAATTTTACCTTGAGTGACCATCAGCAAGCCAAGGAATATTATGAACTTGCCCTTTCCATACAAGTAAATGAACTTGGATCCCATCACATTGTAGTGGCCCGAATGTACCATAACATTGGTGTCCTAAAACATACGATTGGTGACAATCAGCAGGCCACGGAGTTTTTTGAACGTGCCTTGTCTGTACAACTCAGTAAGCTTGGACCCGATCATGTCAACGTCGCAAATACGTACCAAAGCATGGGTAACCTACAAAGCGACATGGGTGACAATCAGCAGGCCAAAGAGTATTATGAACGATCCTTGTCCATAAAACTCAGTAAGCTTGGACCCGATCATGTCAACGTCGCAAATACTTACCATAACATGGGTAACCTACATAGCTACATGGGTGACCATCAGCAGGCCAAAGAGTATTATGAACGATCCTTGTCCATAAAACTCAGTAAGCTTGGACCCGATCATGTCAACGTCGCAAATACTTACCATAACATGGGTAACCTACATAGCTACATGGGTGACCATCAGCAGGCCAAAGAGTATTATGAACGATCCTTGTCCATAAAACTCAGTAAGCTTGGACCCGATCATGTCAACGTCGCAAATACTTACCATAACATGGGTAACCTACATAGCTACATGGGTGACCATCAGCAGGCCAAAGAGTATTATGAACGATCCTTGTCCATAAAACTCAGTAAGCTTGGACCCGATCATGTCAACGTCGCAAATACTTACCATAACATGGGTAACCTACATAGCTACATGGGTGACAATCAGCAGGCCAAAGAGTATTATGAACGATCCTTGTCCATAAAACTCAGTAAGCTTGGACCCGATCATGTCAACGTCGCAAATACTTACCATAACATGGGTAACCTACATAGCTACATGGGTGACCATCAGCAGGCCAAGGACTTCTATGACCGTGCCTTGTCCATACAACTCAGTAAGCTTGGACCCGATCATGTCAACGTCGCAAATACTTACCATAACATGGGTAACCTACATAGCTACATGGGTGACCATCAGCAGGCCAAAGAGTATTATGAACGATCCTTGTCCATAAAACTCAGTAAGCTTGGACCCGATCATGTCAACGTCGCAAATACTTACCATAACATGGGTAACCTACATAGCTACATGGGTGACCATCAGCAGGCCAAAGAGTATTATGAACGATCCTTGTCCATAAAACTCAGTAAGCTTGGACCCGATCATGTCAACGTCGCAAATACTTACCATAACATGGGTAACCTACATAGCTACATGGGTGACCATCAGCAGGCCAAAGAGTATTATGAACGATCCTTGTCCATAAAACTCAGTAAGCTTGGACCCGATCATGTCAACGTCGCAAATACTTACCATAACATGGGTAACCTACATAGCTACATGGGTGACCATCAGCAGGCCAAAGAGTATTATGAACGATCCTTGTCCATAAAACTCAGTAAGCTTGGACCCGATCATGTCAACGTCGCAAATACTTACCATAACATGGGTAACCTACATAGCTACATGGGTGACCATCAGCAGGCCAAAGAGTATTATGAACGATCCTTGTCCATAAAACTCAGTAAGCTTGGACCCGATCATGTCAACGTCGCAAATACTTACCATAACATGGGTAACCTACATAGCTACATGGGTGACCATCAGCAGGCCAAGGACTTCTATGACCGTGCCTTGTCCATACAACTCAGTAAGCTTGGACCCGATCATGTCAACGTCGGAAACACCTATTATAATATGGGGAAGCTTCATCACAAGTTGGGTGACTATGAAAAAGCCAAGGAGTGTTATGAACGCGCTCTTTCGGTGAAACGGAATAAGCGTGGACTTGACCATGTTGACGTCAGGCAATTGTCCCGTTTGTTAGCTGATGTGCAGCGTGTTATGGATTCCCAGCAGCAGGCGCCTGATCATCATAACCGTACACAGTTGAATCAGCCACAAAAGCTTGGACCGGATGAAACTGATTTCGAATTTGCTTATCGTAAGAAAGGTCGTGATATATTTTTCGAGTGATATTATTGATAATCTTTTGAGTAATCTACTGAGTTAGTTAGATCGAGGAACTGTTTTTTTTTTGGTAGAAATGTTCACTTAAGTATACATGATACTTACACGATTGCTACGGTCTGACGTGGTTTGCGTAGAATATGTTTGTTAGAGTAAATTTCCAGGTTTTCGTTCTCTTTGGGTGTGTTCCTTTGGTTAATCCAAAAAACGGATTTTTTATTATCTGATTACACAGTGCACAATTTTGGGGTTTACCTCGGTGTAAGAACCTGTGAACTTTTTCTTTGTTTCGTACCTTTTGTTTTTCTAGGTTTTATTGTGTTGACTTCATTGTTTTCTTTGTTTTACGTCACCGGTGAGTTTAACAGGTTCTTACACCGAGGATGAGCCGAATTTTGTGGTCGGCAGTTCGAATAGCGACGATGGAACATGAACAGATCAGGAAAGAAGCGCATTAAAGTTGACAAGTATCTAAAACGCAGGTTGTCGGTTCAGTTTGATCCAGTTCCGTAGCTCGGAGTTTTTTTTTTTTTTGATGTAACACGATGGATTGCCTATCGCGTCTACAAGCGAGTTTGTAGAAAGATGGCAGTTCATTTGTCCCTTTTACTTACTTGTGTTTTTTAGCAATCTTTAGCGACAAATGGTTAGCACATGGATATTTTACTGAACCAGAAACAATATTCGAGGGTTTTCAGATGTTTTACGGCAAGTGGCAGCAACAAGCTAGGAACGTCGACAGGAAAACTTCAACTGGAAATACCGTTGGATCATCTGACTAATTTCGGAGCCAATGTGAATGGAACAGCGTAGATCACTAATTCGTTAATCTGACTCGGATTTCAAATCCAATGAATCCTTTTTCAAATAGGATTCACCAGATCAAAAATCCGGATTTGGATTTGCCGAAAGGGACGCGATTTCCGTTTTAAGATCTAAAATCCGTTTTTGCATTTACCGAAAGGAACAGACCCTTTATTTTTAGTCTTAGCTTGAAATTGTACACAGTGAGTTGTTAAAGTACGCATAAACAGCTACTATTTTGAATTATTTTGAGTGTTATTTTATTTACGCAAAAGTGTGCAAGGTTTATTATATCTGTTTGTCTTAGTAGAGAGATTTCGAAAACGCACGTGCCGGCCGTTAAGTGATTTTAATACTAAGATTTATCTTTTGTTGAAATCTATCTTTTGTTCATACTAATTGGACGTGCTGGTAAAGCAAAGGATACGTTCCGTTGGCCTTAATTGACTTTCACTTGACCAAACAAAACCTTTCCAGAAAAACAAAGTTTCGCCTGGAACATACTGTTTTTATTACTCTCCCACGTTTTCAAGATCTTATTTGAGTTGGCTTGCGTTTTAGTGACAGAAACCTTGTGGATAATCCATACAATTATATTTGTACGCTAATTAGTTTTATTGCAAAACTCGTAAACAACTTTGAGTTAATATATTGAAAAGGCGGGACAAATAAGTATTGTTAATTATTCCTACAAGAAGACTTTAAACGAAAACTTATGTCATGTACAAAAGTTGATTAGTTGTGCTTTTTGAAGTAACGATAGTGTGAATCAGCGATTTATATATATAAATACATTCTTTGTGATCTTTATATCTCTCTGACTATTTTCTTTTGACTGGACATTAACTGGACTTAAGTGAATTCTATAGTCAAAATTGATTTTCGGATTGCGCCATAACCTCGAAGGAAAATATGATATTCCTTACAGCCAATCGGGTTTTTACTGATGTAAGACTAAATTTCAAATGATTAGGATTGGCACCTGTCATGTCCAGTCAGGATAAAAGGAGCTACAACAGGTTTTTGTAAGAGAGTTAGTACAAGCTAGTGTGAGATTAAGTTGACTTGTAACAATGCTGAAACTTTAGAAGAAATACAAAGTTTGCTGAACCATCAGAGTACGTGTGCCTTTTCCGTGAAGTCGACCCGGAGCTAGTCCCCTTCAACTGGGTTCGGACTTTTCACAGAGTTTATATGACATTTATTTTTATTTATTTTTATATATTACAAATAGACCGCGTTTAATCATTTTTAGTATAACACACGTACTATAAGTCCCAGAGTTAATCTACCCTCATGTCAAATTACAAAATTGTTCTGTGATGCTCAAAGGAAAAACAGAACGCTTGTTTATGAGGGAATAAATATTTTACTTACACTCCTTTTGATAATGATGTAAGAACCTTTTTGTCCGGTTTTATAACAATATTTAGGCTGCAAGTTTATGGGCACAGTGGAATTCAGTTTCCAAAATTTTATGAACCAAAAGTCGTGTTCCCTACGCTCCCTTGGATTTGTGCAGACACTCTAAAAATATTTTCACCCCGATTTTTCGGACCCCGGTTTTTCGAAACTCTCCATACACGCATTACGAACTTACCCTGCTCTTTTTAAAAAAATATTCCATTCGCCTTCTCGATCTTTAAAAAATCAGACACTAACAAAACCGGTTTTAGCCAAATGTAATACCCCTTTCTCAAGGGCTGCGTGAGCATTTTGGGCGAAGCGCGCGAGTTTCATACGCCCGTCCCGTTTTTACCCTCCCTCCAGCACTGTCGCTCTCCGCGGTTTTTGAGCTAAGCACAAAATACAGGCTGTTTGCACTCTCACTGATGGATGATAAAGACAGTAAAATGCCATATCTTAGATGAGCCTTGTTATAACTGCGAAACGTGTGGTAATTTTTTCCATTTCTAACAATACTATCTTTTAAAACGATAAAAATTAACGGTATCACTAAAAAGCCGAAATTTTAACGGTTACTTATAGCTACCAGACCTCAAGTTTTACAAACTTGTGAAAGAAACATCTCAGGCCAGATACGACACGAGAAAATTCTCAAACATACCAGAGGTTTAAACAACTGTTGAATGAAGCCAAGTATGGCATGAAGAAATATACAAATTGAGGAAGGTGTTTGCCGCCTCGGTGGATTAAACATCCTCCTTGGTGAAATGAACATATCGAAAATTCGGCTTTTGAGCGCAAACGGTATAGACTACGAGTAGTCCCCAATTTTTCCTCAGGGATAGTAGAGCAAGCGAAACGCGAGCGCGCCTTTTCTCGCGTGGGGTGATTTTCACTCGCGCTCGCGTTTCGCTCGCTCTACTATCTTTGAGGAAAAATGGGGGACCACTCGTAGTCTACAAACGGTATCATGTCTGGTAGTTTCTACCCGTCTACCTTTCCTTCTACAGTAGACATATGAGTGACATGTCTGACATATCTGCAACTAGGATAAAAAGTACCAACAAATCCACAACGGTTGGTTGTCTGTACCGAAGAATGTGTTCAGACTGGAGTCGCCAGAAAAACAGTAAAATTCAGCCCAGGCATAAAAAAAATACCAGTTCAGTGGTTTTAAGTGTCCGACCTGCCAATGGGATGTCATCGGTTCTTAATATCCAGTCGGTTTTCTTTTTTTCTATCCACCCTCGTAGGAAGACAAATATTTTACCCTCCTGTAGAGTTAGTTACCATATTCAAACCGGGCTTTTAGCGACCGAGTGGGAGGGAGGGGGGGGGGGGGAAACACGGCTCGGGGGCCCTTTCAAAAACTAAATTGGGATACAACGAGGGACAACAAAAAAAAAAAAACATCTCCCCCCAAAAAAAAAAAAAATAGTTTTTTGTGTGTTTTAAGCCCCCCACCTCGCAGGGGGTTTTTTTTGGTTTTTAATTTCCTGTTTTTTTTTTTTTTTTCTCCCCCCCCGAGGAAAAAAAAAAATATTTTCCCCCCGGGGAGGTTTATGTTCCAAATCCAACCGGGGTTTGGGGGGGGGGGGGGGGGGGGGGGGGGGGGGGGGAAACACGGCTCGGAGGCCCTTTCAAAAACCTTTAAAAACAGCTCACGCTACGGTTACCTAAATTTCACAGAAAAATGTACTCATCATTTCCAACTTATAGGCATAACTTGATGGACACAATGACGTAATTTGACGTCAATATGACGTCACATTTTTCAATTTATTGATAGAATATAAATTTCCCTTTCATTCAACGTCATAAGAAATTGTATGTAAAGTAAACTTGCGAATTCCTATTTGATAATAGGGTCAAATGAGTCGACATTGTTTTCTTGTGTTGTTTCCTTTTTTTGCAAGAGGTTTGGTTTGCAGGGAGTTTCATCACCTTATCCTGCTTTTATACCCTATTCTGTTTGTTTACTTGTATGTTCAAATGAAGCAAAACCTCTCAGCTCACCAAAAAAGAAACTTCACAGCCTAACACAGAATTAAAAAGCAGCACAAAGTCACACTATTTGCACGTCATTAAGGAATTGCACTCGTTTAACCGAATCAATTTGTTTATCAAAAGAAATGATTGACCATATTTTCAACAAATTAATGTTGTTTTACTGCGTGCAGGTAAGCTGCGGTCAAAGGCCTTGCTAAAGACGAGGAAATGACTGTGACACCTGAGTGTAGTCACCCGCGGTTTGATTCACTTTTAGGGAGTAAATATAATTACTTCTACACCCAAGAAGTACTCGCTGATTAGTAACAACTGGAGATGAAAATACTTCACAAGGAAAAGAGTAAGAACCTAAAAGAATACCAGACTTGAGTTCCAGTATAAACAGGGTTCCCACAGTGGACAACACAAACACTGCCATTTTTGCGTGACTTGTGTGACGCGTTTTACATGTCTCACGACATGTTGAGTGACAGCCTGTCTGACGCTTGAAATTCAATTGAGTAACGAAAGGACTTGAGTAGACTTGTCCATCAGCTGTAAAACTCCACTGCATCTTTCCATCAACTGATAAACAGTACACGCATTTATCATGAGATCCAAACACGATATACCCAGGAATGTCAGAATCCCATTCTGTTCTAGTGTAAGCCGGGGAACAAAAAACAGGGGCGCCAGTTTCAAAGCGCCACATCTCTCTTCCTTGAAAATCAAAACAATAAACAAGCCCATCAACGCATGCGCACACAACGCCACAGGGGATCAATAGAGGTGATGCAAACACTGGTTTGGGACACTGCTGACTCCAAACGACAGTATGCTCATCGGCATCAACAGCAACAACACGGCCAGTCAATGTAGAAATAAAAACTAAGTGAGGCTCATGGCTAATGCAAGGAGAGCTAAAGCATGATCCACCACCACAGTGCAATGCACAGACACACTGCTTACGCTTGATGTCGAGGCCGTACAGGTGATGATCATGTGACCCAACCCAGGCCAACCCTGTCTGTGAGTCTATACAAGGTGAACTTTTTACTGTTGCATCAGTTTGAAATGTCCAATGCGTGTCACCAGTAAAGCGGTTAAATACATAGACTTTGCCGTCGTAACAACCTACAAAAACCACAAAACAAAAGAAAACATGTTAAAAGGCAAAACAACTTAAGTTCTAAGGAAAGGAACAGTACCTAAGGGGCACCTTTCAAAAGTAAAAAGTACGTTGAAGTAGTCCTGATTTCGCCTAGAATTAGGACGCAAGGCGCAATAAAATTTGAAATCTTTTTCCTGGCGTGATCTGCATTACTTATGATGCTATGCCTTCATTTTTTATACTACATTGTAAATGTAAAACATTGGCAGCAATTTGAAATCTTTTTCCTGGCGTGATCTGCATTATCTTTGATGCCACGCACTCATCTTTTTTAGACTACATTGTAAATGAAAAACATTGGCAGCTGTCTTCAAGAATGTCAGAGGTTTCTTTCCACCCTTTTTGTCTCAAATTACTTAATTTAACTTTTGCTAGTGTTTTATGTGGGACGCGGGCTGCAAAACAGCCCGTATTTTCGCCTAGGTTAAGAACGCGCGCACGAGCGGTCAAAGGGAAGGTCTGGGGTGAGGGGGGAGCCACGTGCTTCAGGCGAAAATAGTGTTTTTAAGCTTCACGTGCACGGCAAACGTCAAATTCAAGTTGAGAATTTCTCAGAATAGAACATGAGCAGATAAACAATTCTTTAGGAAAAAAAGTGCGTGAAACTACTTGTTTATGTGTAGAGATAATGAACTGCAAACGACAAGTAAACGGGAAACTTGGTCACGTGGCACAAATTCGCGTTTACCGTTTGACGTAATCGTGATGTTTAACCTCTCTAATATCACGCCAGCGCTTCGCCGACGGTTTTGAAGTCTATCTGAGGTAGGATACTCGGAACTGATGCTTCGTCTTCAAAGAATTCATATTTCTAAGGCTCTTTGTTGAGATGCCACTTCTTTCAAATATTCAAAAATGAAAGATGTTAGCTCTTCCAAGATTGGGTCAATATGTACGGTCTCCCTGCGATAACAAAAATACCTCACCTACAATGACATAAGTGCCACATGCAGAAATTGCTGCAGATGATTCTATTCTGTCCCCCACACTTCTCTCCCACAGGACTTCACCGTCACTGAGTCTAATACACATGAACACTTTACCATGTGACCCAATGAAAACTTCACCCTCGCACCCCCCTGGAGAGTTCACCACAAGAGGGGAGGCATCAATGCATTTGTATAGACATGTGCGCCACTGACAAGTGACAGTGACCTGGTTACCAGGAGCATTCACGTCTTCAGGGGAGGGGAGGGTCTGATTCTTATCGGTAGATACATCACCAGATGCAGAGAAATAATGAAGGTGACTTTCATTGGGTGCAAAGGAGTCTGTTTGACTGGTGATATCACTGGTTGCAAATGGTCTTGATAAAGTGCAAAACGCGCAAACAGTCCACTGGTTTCCTCTGCGTACAGAGCAGAAACAAGTTTTCAACTCTGAATTGTTTGTTCCACTTTCGACTGAGTTGCTCTTTCTCTCTGCAGTTGATAACCTCTTCGACTTAACATCCACTTCATCTTTCGGAGAAGCAACATCAACTGAAGATAACACTTTCCTCTTCAATGGAAGTTTCATGGTATCTTTGCCAGAATTTAAATCAGAGAAAATCTCATCATTATAACCTTCTTCTTCATATACCATGGTTGTCCCCTTAATACTGCCCAAATCAATTCCATTTTGGCCATTTAATGCACTCTCCACGTAGCCACAAAGGGCGCCAAATGATTGGCTCAAAATAACATCCAGTAATTCTGGAAAGTTAACAGGGGTCTTTACTTGATTGGATATCCATGATTCAATAAGATCTGCCAATCGCACAGCCTCTAGGGATGTTCCACCGCTGGCAATAAACAGATCATCTTCCTTTACATCCCAAGCGCTTAATTTCATAGCAGGATCATTCTGGAACAATTCATCTTTGTCAGAATCTGTTCTTCTGGTCTTGGTCACTTGTAAACACTCTTTCCAAGAACTTTGAAGTAATTCTCTGATAGTTCTTATATCTTTGTGAGTTAAGGATTTCTGAACACTCCTTAAAAGCGCATCGCGGTCAGTCTTTCCATGAGCTGTCATTGGCAGTTGAGGCACTATTTGAACAAAATCAGGTTGAGCATAAACCGGTAACAGGTTATGCAGATTACTTCTTAGTGATGTAAGTTTCTTGCTGTTATACGACAAAGATTCACTGACCACAAATAAGTGAATTCTTGATTGACTTATGCCACCTGATTTGTCTAAAACCAGAGAACACTCACTACCAAGACATTTTTCGGCAATTTCATGCTCAGTCCAGTCTAGGTTTATTCTCTTTCCCATGCGCTTTATTTGTCGGTCTCTGCGTCCACAAAACCAGACATGGTGGTTTTTCACATACGCCCAGTCTCCTGTTTTACGCTTGGTTTCTGCAGTGTGTGAAGTTTCATCACCAAGGAGACAAACACGGTCTGGACCACCTGCAATACAGTTACAGTAACACAACATCATATTATTTTGATTCAGTTCTAATCTGATAAACAAGCTCATACATGTACATGCATTTTGAAGCGTTAAAAGTTTGTTTGGGCATTTTCATGATCCCACCACAGACTTGATTCAATATTGAAGATATATGGAATTCAGTGCTATATTATTTTACCTATTACTGAAAAAAGACAAGAGCGTTAGTTAGTCAAAATGTAGCGTGCAAAGGCTGATTAACCCAGCCCACTTTTACAATTTAAAGTGCAGTGTTGCACAATACTTCAAAAGTGGCTTCAATCATATGGAGTTAGGGTATGTATGTATGTATGTATCCAACTATGGTAATATAGTGTGCTGTGAATTTTGAGAGGCTATCCAAAGCAAATCATTTGAGTTATAAAAAAGGGAAAACATAAAAACAGACATCTACAGTGTACTTTCACTCTCTATTTATAAGATGGACAACTTGCTAAGGAGACAGACACAAAGTGAGAGTATTATGTCGTACTTGTTAAACTTGCAATTAACATTCATATTTTGATAAGTGATCTCACCTATGTAAATCTGCCCAATGCCTTCTTTGATAAGTTCATTATTTTCATCTCGGATTTCAATCACAGTGTTGGACAGTGGTAGCCCAACAGGTACATCACTTACAATCCCAACTGGGAAATCATCTTGACTTTTCTCTTTCCAATTACTGTTATCTGCTTCACTTGCTATTTCCCTAAATTCCAACTGATCATTAGGAATATGATAGCAAGAAGCCCAACAGGACACCTCAGTAATGCCATACAAATTGTACATCAGTGTCTTGTTTCCTGGTGGTCTCCATGCTCTGAGGGTGGAGAGGGTTGGGCAGGATTCTCCTCCAAAGGCAAGCACTCTGAGAGATGAATCGCTAGCAAGGATCTTAGACTGAATCAAGTCCTGACCAATGAAATGCATTAGAGAGGGCGTTGGCTGTTGTTTTAAAGAGAGCAAAAAAGTAAGTTCAGTCTGTAACCCCATGCATGAAATTAACGAGATTTAATTATGTATTTGCTTTCATTGTCTTCCATCATAAATTAACTCCGATTTCTAGGTAAACTTCACATTATAGTAAGGAAATCATGAATTAAAATGGTGTTGTCCTCCTCCTAGTTGTAAACAATTCTTTGAATGGTAAATTAAACATTACAATTTAAATATCAGGCCGCTTAAACACTTTGAAGTGACAATCTTTTCCTTCTTTCAAAAACAACACACTAGGACTTGTATTTTAAAAAGTTCTTACTCTAAAACCTTGGCAAAGCCCTAAGTCCCCACCAGCAATTTATTTTGTGTTTTATATTCTCCACCTGGTTCTATGGATACCACCATTTGTAGTCTGAGAAAGCAAACCAATCACATTGCTTTTAAAAACACCAAGCTAGATCACGGAGTGTGTGCAGTTTATGCCATTAGAGTCTGTATTATATGCTAAACACATATAATGCCAGTAAAAATAATATAGGCAGAGAAACGCTATCAAGAATAAGTTCAAAAGAAGATAGTTTGAAATGTCAGAGTGTTACCTGTAAAATAGTCACTCTTTCCTCATCAAAAAGGATTTGACAAAGTTTAGAAGGTGCCATTTTAACCTGCCCAGGAACAATCACAAGTCTGGCTCCAGCAGCAAATGCCATAAACATCTGTACAATAGAGGGATCAAAGGTGTAGGGAGAAGCAAGGTACACTACGTCATCTGAAACCAGTTGAAATATTTCCCTGTGGAACAGGTATGTGTACTTCAGTGTCCACAATGATTGTTATGTCAATCTTTAAGGTATTAATATCAATGTTCAATCTAGAAATTAGTTAAAGTGGGGTATATGTCCTGCATGACACTTTAAATTGGGTCATTTCAAAAAATTAATGGTCTGGGTCAAACTACAGACAATGCAAATAACATCAACATGGAGGCTGGCACTGCAGGTGGTGCAGCTGTATGAATTGGCCTAATCGTCCTAATAGTCTCTCCTTGTGTAATCTGATCCTTTTTTAGCCGTGCACTTCTCTTTGCTGAAGCTTTTAGTTTACAAGTTTCTTTTTGTTAAAACTTTACATATTAAAATGACCAAAACATAAATGTAAATCACCCACTATGCACGCAATTTACCGGTACATGCATGTAAATGCCGCAATTCCTGTGGCCTTTACTGTAGAGCTCAGAATCCTTTTCTGAGTTCTTTTCTTCACACTATACTATTCTATTTGTCAATAAGTTTTTACTGGAAAAAGATGTTGACCGACATGAGCAGTCACCGCCTTTCTATACTATTCAGCCATTTACCAGGCTTAAAGAACAACAAATACACACCAGTACTGACAGTAAACTTCAGGCAAGTGTCGAGTTTGCTAGTCAGAACCGCAAGAAATAGGCCATTTGCACGATGACATCATTTTACTACTACGACCAGAATCCTTCAGGGTTTTGCTTTCTTGTGCTAATTGGGGCTTTTATTATTCAAACCTCACTGGGATTGCAAAATTTAAATATGAAAGGAAAAAAGAAAAGGATTCTGGTCGTAGTAGTAAAATGACGCCATTGTGCAAATGGCCTGTTGGGTCATCTCATGAGTAATTAATGAGCCCCATAAAAAGTTACCGCCATAAAATGTTCAGAGAGAACTAAACAATCCATCCATCAACCCTTTCGAATTTTAAATACTGTACTCATCTTCTGCCAAAGATCACTTTGATTTCAACCTTCCAGCTGAATTGTTCCACACTTGATATACTTTGCCAATCTTTTGCAGTGTGATAGAGTTCAGTATTTCAAACTGATCCAGTTTGACCTTTTTTACCTCACAAGCAACTTACATGTATTTGTAAGGAACCTGTAAGGAACTGCTATTTTCACACAGTTTTTTTAAGGTCTTAGGTCCACTATGTTGCAAGCCCTGAAAGTGGTGGATGAGTTTGTAGGCGGTGCGCGACAAACGCAGACTGCAGACTTGCAGACTTGCAGACCTGCAGACTAGCAGACTTGCAGACTTGAAGATTTGCAGACCTACATTTTTTGTGACAGGGCTTTGGGCTAATTTTATTCATCCTCTGTTTACTGTTGGCGAATCGCAAAGTACGTCTGAGGCAAACAACAGCGCTAGCCGGCTGCAAACACAACAGTGCCCGATTCGACAGGTGACTGGAAATGCTTGCCGTGGAAGACTTAACATCGGAAGAACGGTGACCTAAACTTCAGCAAGGGGAAGAAGAAGACGGGTGGGATCATCAAGCGGCTTTATAGCGGAAGGACATCTATGAGCAGGGAATAAGTCAGCACAGAATTTGATTGTCGGCAAATTTCTGTAATCGTCCATTGTTCTGCTGGTGATAAGCTAGCCATTGTTCACTCGTCTTGCTTGTTTGGGGCTGAGTCTTATTTCGGTCAAAGAGAGACAAAGAGTGTCTGGTAAGGTTTCCAATCAAAGATTTGTGAACTCGTGTCTGGCAAACTCTCCAAGTGTTTATATATACATGGTTGTATGCACCTTACAACTTCATCTGCACTTAACGAGTGTCTTTTGGTCCATAACTTTCACTGAAACAACTGCTCCACAGAATGTCACTGATAACACGTAACGCAAAAGAGTATCGAAGTATGACGGCACAATAAATGTCACAAGCCCCTGTTCAAGCAAATCAAAATTTTTTTCTGGCATACTGACTGTATATTTCAACTGTAAGTACTTTCCTTAATATACGTGCGAGTTACTAGAGTGCCTCCTCGGGATTTCGCCTTCTGGGCGAAATCTCCGCGGGGGCAATTATCCCCCCCCCTCCCCGTAAGTTCCGAACGAGTCTGCAAGTCCGCAAGTCTGCAAGTCTGCAGGTCTGCAAGTCTGCAGTCTGTGTTTGTCGCACACCGATTTGTACGGGGCTAATTCACAAGGGGATGAACTTACGGATATTTCCTGGTACCATTACAGCTAAAGCCAAAGGCTTACCTGGCAAGAAACCCACCTTAAATCCGTTACATTTGGAACAATGCATCTGTGAGGGACTTTCACAGCTTTGGGTTCACCCGTGGTACCAGATGTCTGCATAACATAAGCAAGTTCCAGCGACTCAGCACTCACTGCAGCAAAGTTAACATCTAACAGTTTTCTCATCAGCACAAATCCATTCATACCAAGAGCTACATTTTCCTCAACTTCAAACTGGTAGTCTTTTGCTAAACTATGTTTACTTTGACGCAAGCACTCTTGGAATGACCCCAGTAGCTCCTTTGCAACGAGCACGAGCCTAACGTTTAAATTCGACAAGAAATTACACATCGTTTCTGGGAGCCATTGAAGATCCACAGGCGCGAAACAACCTTTGTTTTTGAGAACTCCAAGAATAGACACAACACAGCCGATCGATTGTTTGGAATACAATGCCACTGTTTCATGCTTTTCACATACAGTCTTCAGAAATTCTGCCACCTTGCAAGCTTTTTCGTTGACTGCTCGGTATGTTAACTCTTCTTTGGTTGAGCCAGAGTTAAATGTAATAGCGATATTGTTGAAGTTACTACGAGCGGAATTCTCGAAAATGGAGTCGAGTGTTTCCATCTTCTACGCAATGTGCAGCAGCCCTTCCTTCACTAGTGACCAATCTTTTTGTTATCACAAAAAAAAAATACTCGTAAAGCTAAAATTTGTCATCTCAAACATTTAAATTCAGACAGTTTTGCACAAAAGACAGTAAAATACCGGGTTAAGGTCGGCGGCGCCAGATTTCACAGAGACGACCAAAATGTCCGCCATAATGGAGCCTGCACTACAGAAGACCAGCTGACTTTTTCAAAAAGGTACACTCGTGGGCATTTCATAGAATCGAAATCCACTGTCCAATGAAATGTTTACAACTCTACTTTTTCAGACTTCTTCAAATTTGCAGAGGGAACATCTTTCAGCAAAATGAACACGTTTCTATCACGGTTAAACACCGTATTTGCTTTTACCCTTACAGTTCTCGCGGCTTTGACGTTTTTATGTTTCCTCTCGACGCTTTTTAATACACATCAGGCGCCACTGCATCTTCAGACAAAGAAAGTTTTGGTGTAAGTAACTCCTCGAGGACAATGACTCAAAAATATTTTCTTGTTCTAACACGTGCGTCTGTTTTTCTCTCTTATCAGGAAAAACGTTCAGGACTTTAGCGTTTCAAAGGATAAAAATGATTTGGGCTTCATTACTTTCGATCTAGAAGGAGATATCCTTTTTGAAAAGGAATATAATTAAGGAATTCTGTTACTTGGCCTTTCCATTTTATTGGGCCTTTCCATTTTATACCCGCATCCCGAGCATTGAGACAAAGTAAATTATAAATATTAGCCCTTTGGAAAAAGGAACAAAGACTGCTGACACATTTTTCCAATCAGAAAAAGAGAGATGTTTTTGAGATATCAGAGGTACCAACATACATGAAGCTACCCCAAAGAAATGACATTTTGAACCCCCCTCCGTCTACTATTTCTCTGTACCTCATGAATGGGGAAGGGGGCATTGGACGTCACATGGAATGGCCCAATATTTGTAGGCAATTCTCCCTCTTCTACAAAGGCATTGTAGCTTTAATTAAATTAAATTGTATTTTAAAATAACAATAATCAAAATCAGTGCCAACACAAGTCATGTTATTTTTATTCAGATGCCCCCTTGGCGGCATTGAATGGCATAATGTTTTATTGCATCAATGATGTGAAGGTCCATTTTTTAAAAAGACTTTGTTTAATAAGACCCAGTAGTTTTCATTATGGCCCTGACCCTCAATATAAGTTCATAATAACAATGCATCATTGGGGAACGTCTGATGAAAATTTGCTTAGTGTGGCAAAATTCTTCCTACAGTCAGTCATGATGACTGGAAAGATTATGCTGTTATTATTATAATAATTATTATTTGATTCTGAATATTAATGTTTTGCGTTAGCACTTGCATTACTTAACCAATAACTGGCCGTACTGTCCCTTTATTATTGGATTCAAGCATATACCATAAATCCTCCACTAAGCCCCCTCCCCCCCCCCCCATACCTCAACCCCTCCCCCAATCACCCCCCCCCCCCACACTTCACAATCACCCTCGCAATATCCCGTCTGCTGCACTATACTCCC